AGAATTCACAAGCGAGCGTTGCCTCTATCTGAAATTTTACACGAGTCCCTCAACAAACACGGTGATAGAAAGTATGCTCACGAGAAAAACCCGAGAGTTTGGTGAGGCAAACATGGAGCTTCTCTCGCTCGATCCATAGAGCGACGCAGCGTCGACCAACGAATTCCGCGATGAAGCTTTTTCATTCTTTGGGTTCGTTCGAGTCGGAAGGAAGTATTTACATGAAAGTCCGATCGCCTCCGAATGCAGAGCAGGGAAAAATGCCACCGTTGCCGCTTTCTCTAGCGACATCCGCTGAGAGTGCGCTTTGCGCGGGAGTTTTCTCGGAAGATTGACGGCAGCCATGGTGAAGGATGAAAGGTTAGACTTCAATTCCACCCTTGCTGCCGTGGAGGGGTGACGGGGATTACGGATGGGGCAGACGAGAGGTAGTTACGTGGCCCACACCCGCATGAAAGGCTCACCGTGCGGACGGCTGGTGGGTCTTGTGGAGATTTTTTCTCCCGTCGTTTAGACTAAAGTGTTCAGAGCATGATTTGCACCTTTTTCGAGGTTTCCCGCTGCCTCTGCTGAGCGAGTTTTTAGCTTGGTGAGGGCGAGAGGCGAGTTGTTCTCGAGACGGGCCGTCCCTCAGACTCACAGCCGTATGAAAAGGCTCGGACAGGCGTGAAGTCCCCCGCCCGCCTCATCACAGGGCTATGCACCAGATCGCCAATCCTGTCCCCTTTCCTCCCCGGGATCAATCTGTCACTCCGAAAACAACCGTTCTCCTCATTCCTTCAAAGAAACATTCCGCGGTGTCAGAATCATCACGAGATCTGTTCGATTCCGTCCATCTGAGCCAACGCATCAATCTGTTGTTACGTATCCAGTGCCGAGAGCGAGTCTTTTCCCCCGCTCGGCGAGAGACAGACATTTGCGAATTCGGATATGAATCAATTCGAGATCTCTCTTCCGAGGGCTTCAGCCTCGTGAATTGATTGGGTTGGGGGTTCGAATAAATCAATCAAGTGCCTCTGCGCTGCGAGCTGCATCACTGGTCGCTCATGGTCTTGACGGTAATGAAGGGCGTGAATCAGACGTTTATAACGTGCGCTCGACTATTTGTCTTGTTTCGGAGCGATCTCGAATATCCCAACGACGTCGAGCACACAGACGCAAGTATGAGAAACGAGGGAATATATGAAGGAACGATAGTAGGGGGGGGGGGAGGGAAAGGAGGGGTTTCGTGTGAGTGCTTGTGGTTTCGTATTCTCAGACAGCCAGGCGCTCTCCGTGACCGACCGACCGTCAGACGGACGGACGGACGGACCGACACAAAGCGGGGTCGGCGAAGACCCAGACAAGGAGATGCGGCAAGAGATGCTGCAGCCGTCGGAGGCGAATTTCGGTTGTTGGTCTCCCAGGAGCGATTGCTTGCTTGGTTTCTCGTTCATCTGCCCGTTCGCTCACCCGTTGGCTGTCTCGTTTTTTCAGTCACACTGGTTCGCTCAGTCGGTGCTCCTTAGACGGCCTTAGAGAGAGAGAGAGAGTAGCGACGGGCAGCGTCAGTGGACTTGTCTTTCGAAGCCCCACTGTCGCGGTCTTTGTATTGATTCATTCTTTCTCACTGTCTTCTTCACTCACTGACTCGGAGCTTGTTCCCTTCCTTCGCCTGCTCCTTTGCGCAGGAGCCGACCACAGGAGGCTGGATACTCGTCCGCTGGGACACGTCAATTCGATCTTGAATCGGTTGGGCGATGCTGTTTCTTTCTGCTTGTCTTTCCCCCGATCCTGTTCTTCGAGCAGTCGATCGATCGATACCGGTGCATCCGATGAGATTTGCTTCGACTGTTGTCGGCCTTTCGTGTCGTCTGTCTATTCGTCCTCCGGGCCTCTCTTCGGATCAGGCTCAGTCTCCTCGACCTCTTCTCCGATAGGGCTCACGGGGGAAGAGGTGTCATTCGATATAAATGTATTCAAACGTATACCCGCGTCATTCGAGGGATCCGCGGTGCGGTATCCACATGGGCGGTACTCGGATTCATTGAAGAGTCTCGGCACCTCATCGCATGGGTGATTCGCATATCCCGAATCCGGTGGCCGAGACGAACGATAGATGGGGTTTTGATTGATTGATGGGTCGCTTTCCGGTCGGGCTTGGGAACGGAACGTGAGCATGACGTCGATGACGGTCCGGCTGCCCGAAGAAATTCCAAGGGCTCCGCAAGCCGGTTCCGAGGTTCGCTAGACGGTTAGACGCCAGCGGGGGCGAGCTTGCTTGTTTTTGACATCTCGTCAGTGAAGTTACGATCGAATCATTAACAGTGAAACCGGGCCGGGGCCTGCCGTGCAACGCGCACGGCCGATTCGTTATTTGATTGATTAGTTTCCCCGCTTCCATTAGAACCTGGAGGGCGGTTCCTCGATTTGCCAGCTGATTGCAGTTTGATAACGGCAAGAGTTTTTTAGACCTTGACCGTCTTCGGACTGAGCGGCGCCGCCTCGCGTGAGATACCCGGACATGTTAATCGCACCGTCGGCTGGATTGCGGAGCCCAGGAGCTTCCGATGCTCCTGGTTCTCAGCGAGACGTGCTGCGGTTTTTAGGCGAACAGACGATGGGATCTTCTCGGATCCATTTCTTAGCTTTTCAATCGACAGGGGTCTTCGGGAATCATCCGAGCGACCCGGAAAACGTCCGAATCAGTCAATCGCGGAGTATCTCGTCGAATGGTAAATCAATCAGCAGATCAATTCGAATTATCAGATCTGCAGCCGGTGCCGATTCTACGAGAGCGGAATGCGAATCCAAGAGGGAAGAAAGCTCATTTTGCAGCGAGTCGGGGAAGCCTGTCGATGACGATATCGTCGTCATTATTACTCGCGCCATTCACGGCTGATTCCGACTCGTTGGAGCATCGACGGGAAACAGCATAATTACATCTCTGCTTTGCGTTTTCGAAATTTCCCTTGAATTACAAGAGCAGGAAAGATTATAATATTCCCGAAATTGTAATCGTTCTCGGATTACCGTTCCGTGTCGACTCGAAATCAAGGATTTCTCAGAGAAAACTTCGCTCAGGTTTCCTTGTCCTTAGCTGCCGGATTCAAGCCCCGGCTTGCTTCCTCCTACAAGAGTTTCTTCAATGCGCCCATCCTGTCGATTCTGAGAATCGTGCGTGCTATCGATGAAACCGCTCCACGTTTCGAACGGACGCAACTGATAGGGAGGTACTCTTGTTGTGCAGAACCTTGCGATTCTCAAAACGTGCTGATGGGAGGCTGAATAAACAACAGAGAAGCTGATATTCACAGACTTATGCACAGAATCGTCGACATGCTACTGGACGCCGAGGCAGATACTCTCTCTGTCATCCTCTACGACGTGCACTATGGATCTCGGTCCGACTGACATTGAGACCGTCGTCGATTCATAGCCCCCTGGGCGAAATACCGATGTTGCCTGCCGTGATTGACAGTGTAAGGGACTTTTGTCCCCAAAAAGGATCCGTTATTTCTTGCCATCTCGTCATCCCCGTGAGGACTCTATTGATCCCTTTGCAGGGGCATTCGCATTCATTCGTCTTAAAATAGAATGAACAAATTCAGGTACGAGCTCGAGCCTCCGTCCTGCCGAACATGAACGTCGAGTCGTCTCCCCGAGGAAAAAACATGTCAGGAGAGGAACATGCCCGGCGAATTCGGGAGCACGCTAAGGAGAATTGCTTTATAAGCTGCAGATTGTCTATGCTTCTATGATAGGAGGATCCCCCGCTCGTCTCCCGAGAGCGGAAGAGCGTTGCTTTTTATTGCTTTTTCCGTTTTTCCCCCGGCTCCCGAGCGCCGACGTAAAGGAACCACAAGCCGGCCGGGTAGGGTTGGGCTCGAGTTCAATTGAAGGAACGTGTCAGCACAGTCTTCCTTTTTTGGCCGGGGAGGCACCGAATCCTTTCCCGTCCTGCGCTCATCCCACTCCCTCGTATGTCCTCGAATCGCCGGGAAAATACCCGGTATCTGGTAATGAGGAATTCATTCCCGTGACTTGAACATCTTCGATCGACTGATTTTCTGCGAATAACGAATCCTGCCATGACTTACTCATCCCATATCGTACTTATCCCGCGAGTCGTGAACCTACCCCGCCTGTGTGTTCACACGAATCATGCGAGATTCTTCCTGCTGAGATGAGTCACGGATGGGGGTCAGCGAGCCAGCGGTAGGGTGGGCAGGCTTGCGGAAATGGTGGCAGGCACCGTCAGAGGCAGGGCCTGTTTGCTTTGTAGGAACAAATTGAGGCACTTCTCTTTCTATACTGCAATGAGTGCCGCCATGTTGGCCGACCATTCGCCTACTGACCAACGGCCGAAGGGCACAAGATGTCCGTCACAGGGGTCCGGAGCCACGTTCGCTTGAAAAATGACACAAACAGCTTAAAGATATTTTCTGCCGAAACGTTAGAGCAGGCCAATCTGCGACCGCACAATTTGCTCCCCTGCCAGCTCAACAACTGCCGCGACCTTCCCACGAGATCCTGGACAGGATGACGGAAGTCGCCCTGAGCGCGATAGGAGTCGGACATTTGTAAATGAATTATGAAGTCCATCATCTTCAGCTGAGGGGAGCCAGCGGACGGCCTGTGGATGGCCGACTCCGCTGGAGCCGGAGCCTAGAAGGCGCGCACTCGTCCAGGCTCGAAATGTCGCTCTCGTCGGGATGATTTACATGAGCTGTTTGAGCCGTTTCTCTCTGCCGTCCGCTTTTTTCTCTTTCGAAACGGCCGCATATTAAAGTAATTCGCGAACGTGACTAATGTACGAAATACTAACGTTGTGCCTTTCTCCTATTTCAGGATCCCTCTTCCCAAGAAACCCGTCATTTTACTTCAATCCTAGGACCCTACCCTCGATCTGAACACTTGCCCTAAGATAAAACCGCCAAGAAAGCCAACGCAAACACCTGAGAGTGCATCGCAAGGATACGCAATATCACGAGGCCCATCCGACAAGTCGAAGGGAAAAGTTCCTTGGAAAACACCGCAGCTCGCTGCTTTTGCAATCACGTCGACCTTTAGGCTCAGTGATTGACTGGGAGCAGAGGAGATAGAGAAACTGAAATCATGTGTCCCACAAGTCATACCCCATCTAGCATGTTAATGTGAATGAAAGCGTCGTCGACCGGTCGAACTAGGGCACCTACATCAGCGAAGCCTTCTTAGCAGCCGGCGGATCAGCAGGAAGCAGCACGCTCAAGCGTGTCGATTTGGGTTGACGAGATGTTGCACCATCACATGATAAAGCGGGAGGATTCGAATTCGTCGATCGGATCCTCGTCAACTCCTCCGCCGGTTATGCTATCGTCGTATTCGGAAGCGGCCACTGCGCTCTACAACAATGTGGTCAAGCGGTCGGTCTCTCCGAGCCACGAGGAGCAGATGAGCTTCATCAGCGAATTCGTGAGTGAATTTTCCCTTTCCCGTCTTTTTTCCCTTAGTTCCGAGCAGCGAAACTAGCTCGACAACCGCCTCGTGACACAGGACTTGAGCAAAAATCGATAACTTCTGCTAGTGTTACGCCATGGGACGCGTACGTCGACGCCGCGCCGTCGGCGCAACTGTCACCGAGGTAGCGCGGGGTGATTTCACTTCGTATTACGGGATCTAAGCCTGTTCCTGCTCGTTCCATGAGCGACAAACTCCTCGGTCCGACCAGGCGGCATCTCGCGTTGATTATGTATGTCCGTATGTAAACACATTTCATATTCGTGTTTGTGTATACACTCCGCATATGTACACGATGCGTACCTCGCCGAGCGGATCACAAGGGTGACTTGAGATCGCGAGTTTCGCCCTCCTTTCCATTTACCGTTGACTCGGTAGGATGAGAGGGAACCGGTGACGTCGACGCGAATGGAGAAAACTAATTATTTGGAAGCAAGCAGCCCCCGAATGTGTTCGACGGCTTGTTTGTGGCCCTTTGTCGACACGGTTGGTCAGCTGCTCAGTCAGCTGGCCCCTCGCCACCCTCTGTCGCCGGCCGGCCCCGGTAACAGAGTCCGACGACGGATCCATGTGGACTTCTGCTCTTGTCATTCGTTTGTTTGTTTGCCGGTCCGTGGACGGACGACTCGTGAAACTCGAGCATCTGTCGGGCTATCCGAAAATGCTGCATGAATCTCTGGATCGTTGGTCTCTGCACAGAAGCCATCTGGAGTAGAGGATAGGGTCTCCGAGCATTGTCGACAGCGGCAGCTGGAAAGTGGTTTCTCCCGGGAAGGCCGAAGCTCGCGATTGACCGTGAATTCCATCGCTTCTCAGGGATGGGGAAGAGGAATAGGCCCGAGCTGATCGATAGGATCTGGGAAGCCATTCGATGACGGACGTGCATCGACGGTTGCCTGAGAACCGTCAGCGTCTTTCCTTCGATGCAGCTTCTCCTAATTCGCGCTTTTGTTCGCCATCCATCATCACTTGTAGCAAAGAATCGCTCATGAAACGATCTTCATCCACGTCGACGCTCGCTCCGGACGGAATTCGGCCGTGAGGAATACCTGAGACGGGGGCGAGAGTTTCGGAAATTGCGTGCGGGCCCCGTGCTCCACTCACTCAGGAGTAATTTCCACCCAGTTGTATCCTAGGCGGATGACGACGAATTTCGAGAGGAGAGAGTCAAATGAGCGTAAAGCAGGATTAGACCGGCGAGCTTCACTATGTGCCGCAGGGAGGAGTCGTATAAATTGCTTCCAGTGGGGCTCCGCCGCGCCGGGAAGTGACTCTGTCTTCGGTAAACGACGACGGCGCGTGGGACGACGACATCTCCGCGAGAAATTCTATTCGGTGGAGGGAGGGAGAACGAGAGCGCGGATCGGTCGGGGGAGATTTTGAAGAGCATCGGGGAATTCCCACCGAACGCGCTGGAAAGGTGGCGTCGTTGATGCTGAAAACGCGCCGCCGCGAAACTGATGAAGGAAAACGACCGCCACAGCGGCAACGACACTGCCGGGACTCGTTCCTGGCTTGTTCTTTTGGCTTGGAGCCCAACAGAGTCGTCGCTCCCGATGACGCCGTAGTTTTCTCGCTCGTCCTTCCGACATCGCACAGCTTCATAGTCTGCTCGTTCCTAGAATTTCGAAGTCGTCGGACTCAAGCACAAAAGAGACTATTTCTTGGCACATGTTGCTGAGCAATCGTTAGCGTCGACGGATAGAATGGAGAGTAACACGCGACGAATGGGCCTCAATGAAAGGATGAAGCCTCCATTCAATTTGGTCTTGCGGAGAAACTCGCAATGAGAATCCTCAAAGGTCAGTCCTTTTGAGAGGGTACGCCTACGTCAAAATGAGACTCTGCGCATGGGCTTTAGGCACCGAATAATTCACGGATCACGGGATTATTGAGCGGAAATTCGGTCATCGCTATTGTATGGTCGTTTGTGATCCTCACTCATTCCTACACGTTTTCATTGTACACACGAGCGACCCTGAATCAGGGGCGAGTTTCCTCAACAGATCCTACGGGTTGTTTTGCCAGACGTAGGGATCGAACCCACTCCAACTCCCGCACGAGCGGCGTCGTTGCACGTTTGCACGAGAAGTGACGAACGCGCTAACCACTCGATTACCCGTCAAGAGCGTCCGACTGCAAACGAGTCGGCTCGCGGGTCCTACCGGAGCGGCTCCTCATGGTTGCGGTCCGGCGCTCGTTGGATCGTCGATCGCTGAAGGCGGAGTTCCCTTCGGCTCCACTGACTCCCTAGATGGACTCGAACAAGGCCCCTTCCTCGAAGCTTTACTCGTGTTGCTTCTCGAAGTAATGCGTCCGATACCGGATTCGGCATAGAATTCTTGGAGAGCCGCTCCATGATGAAAAGTAAGGCAGCACCTCAACAACAGGACTCGTTATCGTCACGATCCGAATTCCACTCGTTTGGCTGGGCGAGGTGGATAGGTCGACGAGCAACCGAATTAGACAGTTTCGGCTCCATTGAGAAAATTGAGGGTAATCAAGTTGCCACTGGGACATGAAGCCATCACGACCCCCTTCCGAAGCGGGATCAGGGGCTACCCCTATGTAGAGAGGTTGATTCTGCTGGAAGGCCGCCGTTCGTGGTCCAGGTGGGGGAACGATCGAGGTGGGAGGAACAGACAGTCACGGATGGCTTGGCCAAATTCGCCAAGACACGAAAACTCTCAGGGGGCGAATCCTGCACCGTCCGCTGGAGAGTTGCCTGACATCGACCGGACAGCCGCACCGCCTCAAACTGTGAGTGGGTGGGTCCGCGACTCACGCGTCAGTCCGTCCGTCGGTCCATCCATCCTTTCATCTTTTTCTCGCTGGTCGAATGGGGATCGGTTTCCCCGATGCTCCAAACCTCGACCGATATCGTTCCGGCTGGGTACGATCCCGCAAGGGCCGAATCCGTTTCCCCGGTGTCTTCATTTATAGCAACAAACGTTTGCGTGAGGGCGACAAGGACGATTCCGAGAAGGCGGAGGTGATCGATGGATACTCCAACATCGCCAGTACCGACCGTGTTGCCCCCAGGTCAATTTCCCAGGAACGCATGGGAGTGCCGATGCTCGAAAGAACTGGAGAAGGGGAAGACGGGAGAATCGGGGAATAATAGCCAATCAGTGAGGGGATAGGGCCAGCTGCGGGAGGGGAAAAAGGAAGAAGCTAGACAGACCCGAGCTCGGACTTCTCTGTTACCGAGTCGAAGTCCCGACCTGAGAGCAGATGATTCTCAGAGCAAATGCGACCTGTCGGAAATTATAACGCATGGAGCCTGCAAGGTTCCGCATATCGAATAATCTTGACCGAGGTCTGCATTGTTTTCGCTCTTTCATTGATTCTCTCGATGGGGGGCCGGGCGACCCGTCTGAGGACGCCCCAGTCTATTCTCGAGGTAGTTATGAGGTAATCGATCAGTCCTAATGAACAGGTCGACCGCTGGAAAAAGAAATGTTAGCAATCAATACGTTGCGTTCAATGTTCCATTCCATGGACATTGCCGCTGCGCGGACCTCGATTCCCGCAATTTCGTGGCATAAAGATAAAACCGGAGACTCAATGTGGAAATGCGGGGCGTGACCAGGCACGGAACGCGTTCACGATACCGTCTATCAATGCTCCCTGCACCGTTTGACCTCGTTGTCGAAATGTCACGGCGAGAGCCGGGCGACCGTCGAGTAGTTTCAGGAATTTATCGGAGCAAGCGTTTCAAGAAGGTCACGTAGAGCCCAGGAGGAGCGTCGGATGTTATCAACGCCGCCGACCTCGTGGTCTTCGACTTCCGAGTTCCGAGCGGAACTTGTCCGAGTGTTGGTTCTCGCCGCCATCGTGCTCCTTTGGTGATTTGGGCAGTCGTCGTCGTTGACGACAACGACTTCGTCATTTCCTTTAACCATCCGACGCCGTTTGTGGGATTTTCCGCTGAATGGGGGAAGGAGCGATCTCACCTTCAACCGAGCGTTTGCCACAGTCTCACAACACATGGAGCGAAAGTCGTTCGACTTTATTTTGTCTCTTCAGAGCCCCTCCAAGTTGACCGAGAAGTGCAAAAGACTCCTCTGAGCTCATCCGCAGCTCCTGCCTCGATCGATCCTGTCTCCATGTGCTCCTGGATCGGTCTCTTCACTCGAGCTGCTCTCTAGTCGTCCTGACTAATCGCCTGCTCGTCGTACCGCTTCTCCTCGCGGAGATCTCCTGGCTGAACATCTAATGCCTCATACCTTCTCCGTCGGACCTCTCCTTCCTTCTATTTCTCCCCGATCGCTGTATGCAGACCCAAGGCTGGTTAGACTGATGAATTAATTTAATTACTCTCCAATGCATTAACGAGAGCAAGCATGCGGTGGCGGCTCCGCTTACGAACTGGAAAAAAAAGACTACGTTGCCCCGATAAGGTGGCTATGGAGGTAGGAGAGGAAGGCACCGAGCTTCATCATTAATGTCATTAATATCGAGATCCTTGACGGCGAGCGAGCGGGCGGATACGGGAGTTGCGTGCCGAAAAAAAACGTGGTGACACTCACGAAGCTTCCACTCTGATGAAGGATTCGGGACACCACTGGAACTAGCGAGCCGAGTAGGACATCAATTCAGGGAAGTCTCATGCTCGAACCACTGAATGGCTAGAAAGTTTCTGCGCTCGTTCATTTGTTGCTCGCCGCCACTCTGCAGCATGTCGAGCGGTTTTCTCCAAGAGGACGACAGCAGAAAGTCGTTGCTTTACAAGAGTATTCGCAAGCAACGGGACTGAGCGTCCGTTTGTTCGTATGAGGGAGCGACCGACCGAGCGTGGGAGCGGGAGAGAGCGGAACTGGCGTGCGTTGCGAGCGAGGCGTTGTGCAACACGTGCGTCAAATATCCTTGCTCGGGTAGCTTCGGCTGCTGGCGAAACCGCTGAACAACGTTTCCTTTCCGCTGGTTGCATTTTACCCGGCGCTCCCCCTGGG